ATGTTCTAAATAACGTAAAATATTTGATAAAAATTCGTTAAGTACATTAAAATGTGTCACAGTTCATTACCTCTCTTCAACTTTTCATAATCACTATTATTGTATCTATACGCCAATGATTCTGATGGTTCAACGGAACTCGAAGAAAAATCATATGGTAAAAACTCTCGTGATAAGGAATCCCTGTGCGGCATTCGAGATAAAGACAATTCTTGTGGTTTAATAGTTCTGGTATGTTCAAAAGAACTTTTCGGAAAATGCGCACTGGCTATTTCTTTATCGGTATGGGATTCTTCCAGATCTCGACTTGTTTTTGACTTTTGACGAGATTCCATTAGAACTTGACTTATATCAAGGACAAATAGATCTCGATAATTTTTTTGGTAAACTTGGCCGGTAGCAGGAGTAGTTGACGTTTGTCCACGAGCCACTTTGACGATTTCTACTTCATCGGACAGTTCGTCTCTATTTGCTGCAGATTTTTCATATTGATTCGTTTCTGTATTAATAAATTTTTTTGATATAGTAAGTATATATGATACACCTTTGAATAACGGAACGGAATAACGCAAAACAATCAATATATCGACTTTTTTTGGGGGTAGAAGTTTGTCCGGTATTAGGAGTAGTTGAAGCTTGTCCACGATCCACTTCGACGATTTCTTCATCAGGTGTTTTATTTTTTGCTGCGGATTTTTCGTATTGATTCGTTTCTGTATTAATTAATTTTTTTGGTATAGTAAGTATAAATGATACACCTTTGAATAACGGAACGGAATAACGCAAAACAATCAATATATCAACTTTTTTTGGGGGTAGAAGTTTGTCCGGTATTAGGAGTAGTTGAAGCTTGTCCACGATCCACTTCGACGATTTCTTCATCAGGTGTTTTATTTTTTGCTGCGGATTTTTCGTATTGATTCGTTTCTGTATTAATTAATTTTTTTGGTATAGTAAGTATAAATGATACACCTTTGAATAACGGAACGGAATAACGTAAAACAATCAATATATCAACTTTTTTTGGGGGTAGAAGTTTGTCCGGTATTAGGAGTAGTTGAAGTTTGTCCGGTATTAGGAGTAGTTGAAGTTTGTCCGGTACTAGGAGTAGTTGAAGTTTGTCCGGTACTAGGAGTAGTTGAAGTTTGTCCGGTATTAGGAGTAGTTGAAGTTTGTCCGGTATTAGGAGTAGTTGAAGTTTGTCCGGTACTAGGAGTAGTTGAAGTTCGTCCGGTACTAGGAGTAGTTGAAGTTTGTCCGGTATTAGGAGTAGTTGAAGTTTGTCCGGTACTAGGAGTAGTTGAAGTTTGTCCGGTACTAGGAGTAGTTGAAGTTCGGTCCCGGTTCACTTTCTTAGATGCTTTGTGAAGTTTTCTTTTATTTGACGATTTTTTCTTGTTTCGGCTCATTTCTATATATCAATAAATTTTCTTACGGTTAAAATAGGAAATTGCAAATCAAAAGTAATTATATATCATATGGTCGAAAGTTACAAATTACCAGTTATTATGAAAATGAAATAAAATTATCTTAAATTTCAATGAGATGAGAAGAAAAGAGAAAGAGAACGTACGAGTTAATGATCAGACGAGTTTTTATAGAATTTATAAGTTTATTATTAAGCTTTTGACAAACTTTCACAAGCTGATTTGATAAATAAAAGTTTATTTATCGTGTCTTCCGAACCGAAATGATCATCGATTTTAATTTTTCAACAAAAATGATTTATCAAGTACAATATACTTTGCCAAATTTTAGCCGATTTAATTTATTGAATTGATATCAAAATATTCGATTTAGTACGACCGCAGTTAAATCAATTAATTAATTAAAAATGATTTATCGAGTACAATATACTTTTGCAAATTTTAGCCGATTTAATTTATCGAATTGATATCAAAATATTCGATTTAGTACGACCGCAGTTAAATCAATTAATTAATTAAAAATGATTTATCGAGTACAATATACTTTTGCAAATTTTAACCGATTTAATTTATCGAATTGATATCAAAATATTCGATTTAGTACGACCGCAGTTAAATCAATTAATTAATCGAATTGACGTTAAATTTTTACAAATTGTAGTAAAGTTTTAAACGATTATTTGATTTATTGAAGCGATTAACTTCAAAACTCGTCAATTGAAAATGACAAGAAGGAGATCGGTTTCAAGCATTCTTGGCAATCAAAAAAAAAATGAACGTAGACGTTCATTCCAAAAACCTCGCAAAAGGAAGAAAGTTCCTTGTTATTGCAATAATTGTAATGGAAAATTGGTATTGGAACGAACAAAGCTTCTACACGAGACAGGAGGCGAAACGAATGATTCGAATGAAGACGAATCAAGTGAGGACGAAGCTCTTTCGATAATTCAAGAAACTAGTGAACAAGACATTACCGAAAATATTGAATTACCTCAAGTAAATGTTGACGTTCATCAGACTTCGACATCAGGGTCGGATTTCGGGGGATACACCGAAAGTCAAAGGTTACAAATACCCGGGGACATAGATGTTAATTGTTCTTTTTTACCTCGGAGGCGAGTAAGATATACAAGCCATCCTATGCCTCAATCAACAAGTTTGAATATCGAATCGGACGTATATAATACTAGCGAACAAAACACTGAAATGTCTTTGGGTAGCGAATCAAATAATGAATCTTACAACGAAATTTTTGAAGATTATTCACCTCCTCCGTATCAAGCCAACATGGATGCAGAAGAAAATCCAATCGATGATAAATTTTCATGGATTTTATTGTAGATAATGAACTACCGTATAACATACAATATCCCAGAAACGGCAACCGAATCTTTAATAAAGTTCATGAAAATAGTTCTAAACGAAATCGGTGGTAAAAATTTTAGAACTTTTCCAGATTCTCTTTACCTAGCGAAAAAAGTACTTGGACTAAAAGACCAATTTCAGAGATTTATTCCATGTACAAAATGCCACAAACTCTATAATAAACAGGATGTAGAAAACTTTCGTCAAAACGAGAGTTTATCAGTTATGAAATGCCACCATATCGAGTTCCCAAACTCGTCTCACAGAGGTACACGCACTTGCGACACACCTTTATCACGACAAATCAATGTTTCAAGAGTTCAAGCCGAATCAATATACCCATTTGCTGGATTTCGACAACAACTTTCTGATATGTTTTGTCGACTTGAATTCGAGAAATCCCTCCGACATTGGGCAAATCAATCAAATTCAGATAATATTTTATCCGATATTTATGATGGACGAATATGGAAAGAATTCAAAGATACAAACAATGATGATTCGTTAAATTTTTTCTGAAATGAGGTTGCCGACTCGCATCTTGGCCTCATGTTGAATGTTGACTGATTTCAGCCATTCGATGGAACTAATCATAGTACCGGAGCCATTTATGCAGTTATCTGTAATTTGCCGCGTAATATATGATTTAAGCGAGAAAACTTGCTGCTCCTTGGAATGCTACTGGGTCCGAATGAAGTGAGTCTACATAAAATTAATCATTACCTTGCACCAATCGTTAATGAGCTGACATCCCTCTGGGAAGGGATTATTCTAAATCGAACATACGAGCATCAGTTAGGAAAAAAAATTCGTGCAGCGTTGATAATGGTATCGTGCGATATACCCGCTGCGAGAAAAATTTGTGGGCACATTTCTGCATTGGTTTCTTGCCACCGATGCCAGAAAAAGGCAAATTATGAAAATCATCAGCATAATTTTGCTGGAATGGGAGATATGGAGGATTGGTTTGTTGCCAGTGATTCAAACGAACATCTCCAAAACGCACTTGGCTGGCGATGGTATAATTCGGACGCATCAAGAAAGAGATTCGTTAAACAGACTGGAGTAAGATGGTCAGAACTACTTCGCTTGCCTTATTTTGACCCAATTCGTTTCACTATCATTGATCCAATGCATTGTATGGTCGAAATCATTTCTTTCGGCATTAATACCTTTCGTCAAAAGTTCATCATCGTCATCACGTGATTCGTCACACATTCGGCTAATTACAAAATTCAGAAAAATTTCGGCATAAATCAACTGGTCGATTTTTGGTCGATTTTTGGTTGAGCTGTAACATAAAAAAAAACCATAAATCGACCAATACTTCTTTTTTATCGATTTTTATTAATAACAACGATCGACTTAAAACTTTTTTGACGATTTTTAACCGATTTTTTAATTAATTTTAATTAATATCAATAAATAATAATGAAATATAAGTAAAATAAGAAAACACTGAAGTTAAAGATTCGTCAAATTTTATTGTAAATCAATTTATTCGTATTATTTATTATTAAATAACCAATTCCATAAAATTCGTTAAACAATTATTGTAAAGAAAAATTCTGTAGCTTTTAGTAAATTACCGAATGTGAAACTTGCGATTTAATGGATTTATCGCTAAATATTCAGTTGCGTTGCGGATAGAAGAAATTTTATATTTAGCGGGCACAAATCGGCAAAGAATGTTGTGTACTGGAATAATACAATCCCTACTTTCAGGAAAAAAATCTGTTTTACATAATTCAACATTGCATGTTTCCGTTTCTTCGGTATCATCAATACTAAAATGATACCGAATATTTGCTATGTTTGCTGGTCGGTACCACCTAATAAAAGCCAAATAATGCTCAGTAGGTCCATTTGGCAAGTCAATTTCATGCTTGAAATAATACTGGACTTGTCCAGGATAAAGATCGACTTCTCCATCAGTCGTTATGAATTTGGCTAATACATATGAACTTTTTATGTGTTGAAATGACAACGCGGAGCCAAACACCTCAGATCCAATACGACATCTCCCAAATTTATCCATTTTTACACGAATAGTTATCGCATCTTGCTTTATAGCATCAGATGGTTTTTGGAAATTATACATTTCATATGTAGCAATATAATAATCGATCATTAAATCGAGCATTGATTGTAATAATACTACATTTTCGGAAGTAGGTCTTAACATTTCACCAGGAAACGCTTCGCATCCAGTAACAGTAGATTCCTGGATATTTTTTGAATTTAGCCAAAACCTTTCCATTTCATCTGAAGCGAATTGGTCATTTTCTGATAGTGATCTAACGGTAGGATGATTTTCAAGTAATTCAAGACCTTTCATCTGAGCGCTAGAAGTAATGATATCTCTGATTCGGTTATCATTCATTAATCGACGCATTAGTTCTGGTTTAATTTTTCTGTTACTGTTCGGTAATGATCCTAAGGGTTGTATTTAAAAGAAAATTTAAAACTAATAATAATAATAATAATAATAATAATAAAGGCCAGTGTATCTTACCGAGTATTCCATTCATGCGTTCGAATGAAAAACACCAGAACGCATACAATGGGCCTAAATCATGACAACATTCGGACAAATGAAGCGAGAGATGTAGATTCGGCGTAATTTTATTCCTGCCGTATTGTATCTCAATGAACTTTATTATTTTAACAAGTTGTCTATGGGCTTCCTGCAACATGTCAGATTCTATAATCCGACTTACCAATATCGAACAAATTCTGACAAAATGAGTCAGAATTTTTCTATCTTCAGCTGAGAGATGGTTCCAAAGCGATACTGTGGCATAAATTGTGAAAAAATTTCGTCACTGGTCAGCAGTGAAGTTAGAAAATCCTTCCCTGCAGTCGATTTTGCCAGGAATTCGACTCAAATTGACCGGAACTTGAAATCGATTCATTTGTTTTTGAACTTCATTGAGCATACTTGAAGTTAAGATTCCCTGATCGACCCAAATTCGCTTCACAATCCATTTTGCAATGCCTAAAAATAGACATGCCAGTGTTTGGGAGCAGATGGTGCAATTACAGAAATGAAAGCGCAGCAAATAATAATGGATCATCCCTCAGCAAGTGGAGTTTTCGAATTTAAAGATCCTCTCTATGGAATTAATTTTAAAGCACCAATCTTTAACAATCGACCAATTGTATGTGTACAAAATATGAAACATGCCAAAAAAACTGCTAGAAACCAGATTCATTATGGAACATGATTGCTTACATTGGGGAATGATACAGTTCATTATGATCAACTCTGCAATATTGTGGAGAAGAAAAATTCTGTGTTCTGCACTCGCGATGTTTACAATATTGACAAGCAGGATGATGGTACGGCTTTTCGTATATTCCATTCACAATTACTTAGGATGTGCCAAGATAATAGAATTATCAATCTGGGAAAGCTTGGTTTATTTGTGTACCTATTTATCTTAGGTATATAAATTTTAGTATTTTAATAAATATGTTGATTAATTAATTAATTTATTAAATGTATTCTATTTAGGCGAACTCTTTGATGCTTATTTAAATCGTGAGATTAGTCACAAGACTAGAATAATCATGACCATGCACGCCTATTTCTTTCTTAACTTTTGGAAGTCCTATATTGAAGAAACTAGTGAAAAAACTTCCAAAGAGTGGTATTCTATAGCCTGAAGCTTTATTTCGATTCAGAGTTATAATATATTTAAAAGTCTTGTTGAATCCTTGATCTTATTAATAATTTCGCACTATGATTATTATGAAGACTACCCGCTACTACCATGGGAGCATGGAACAGAGGCTTTAGAACATGTATTTGGGATTGCACGTCAATTAATACCAGATTTTACATCTTATGAGTTTTTTAAAATCCTCTAATAAGTTATGCATCGTGATAAGATTCTTCGAACTGGAGATTTTAGCATGAAAAAAGAAAAGTTTCAGCAACAGGTTTGTTTAGTTTATTTTAATCATTTTCTCAATATTATTTGCTTTGACTAATAATACTCTCAGTAATCAAAGTTATATTTTTGATTTTGATTCAAATGACATGAGTATTGAGATTCTTAAACTCGAACGCTAATGGCCAACACAAGATGAAATTCATGGAATGATTTGAATCGCATATGCGAATGCTGAAAAATTTGCACGGCTGATGGCTCTATCAAAATCTAGAACAGATTTGTGCCCTTTTATATATGTTGATAATTTTCATTCAGAAATTAAAGTTAAACATCATGTAAAAAAAAATCCCGCAACTAATTTCAATATTAATAATAATTTAATTTCTGAAAATGATCAACTAGCTGATATAGCAAAAGATATAGCTCAGGTAGTATATATTAATCAACATAAAAAACTTCAACTTACCGAAAATGCTGATATTGATAGTGATGATGATGAACTCCTTAGCAATAAATTAGATGACTTGGATGAAAATTTAGCGTCTAGATCAAGTAATCAGAGAGATAATAGCAATGAATATAATGATGTTAATAAAATCAATTCTAATGAGATTACTTATTTTTTAAATCACCAAAGAAGTGCAAGATTACCATCAAGAGTAGCTGAACCTGAGGAACTCTTATTCGATGATAATGATGAACTAGACATATTAAAAGCACTAGATATTCATAAATCGCACAATGCATTTTCAAAAGCTGATTGTTTACGTGGAATCTGAAATTATTTGGTTGTAAATTTGGATGAAGGTTCACAAAACAAAATTGAAAGAAATACTGCAAATGAACTTGTACGCAGTTTTCAAGAAAATGATTCTTATGTTGAAAATCGATCAAAATTTAACCGTTAGGAGATGAGAAAACATACAGAAAGCATTAGCATTCCTAAAACAATTCCAAGTAATTTACATGCTATTGTCTTGACCATAATTTAAATAAAAAATACTTAATTATTTTTTTTCTCACAATAGTACAAAACTTAGGAAGTGCTGGTGTATCTAAAGAATGCCTATTAGAAGATCATGGACTTATTATTGTATATATAAGTAAAAGACTTTACATTGGCCAAATTCTTGTCAAGTATTAAAAGATCAGTGATCAGCATTCCTATGTGCGTTCTGGTGTAGATTCAGTGGATTCTCTTTCATTCATCTCTATTATTCTTTATCATCATTTATCCAGAAGTTATTTTACATGTCAGTCACCTGTAATAGATGGTAGTAATCTATTTATTCATTTATCAGCCAAAAACGTTATTTATTATCTTGGCAATGTATTACCTTTTAATTTTACTAATTATGAGATGCTTAAACTCAATAGTAATGAATATATAATTTTTTTCTTTTTTCAACAAGAAGTAGTTATGAACACTTTAAAAATAATTCATCAGCATTAGTAATAATTAATTTTTGTAGTTTTTTTGCTGATTATATTGTATATTGTATTCACTAATGCTAAACTAATATAATTGATTAATAAAATAATAAAATAATAAAATTTATGTAACTGTAAAATTTAAGGTAAGGTTATATATTAATTTAAAAAAGTAACTGAAATGTTGGTAAGGTTAATTAGTAAGAAAAAAAATGGAGTAAGGTAAGGTTACATATAAAAGTTGGATTTTTTTCGATAATCTATCTTAGTAGTAAGCAGGGTCCTATACATGGATCTGATAATATAGATTTGAATATAGATGAAATTATTAGTAAAACAATCTGGTGTTTCTAATTTTTTCTTTGACATAATGGTTCTTTAGCATTCTAAGTATATAGAAAGTAATGCATTTATTATACATGCTACCCAAATTATTTTGAGATGCCATAATTATAATTTGAGATGTTGTAATTCATTCAATTTATATATAATTTACTATGTAAAGTGCCAAAATAATTTGAGATGTCATAATTGAATATTACATTTTAATATAAATGCCATTTATATTAAAATGTAATATTTTGTATATCAATATTTACTGAGCATAATTGGCTAACCAATAATATATACTGTATATAAGGTATTTTCAATATAATGAATTGTTTGTTAGTTAATAATATTAAATTATTGCTATTTTCAATTTAATTAAAACTGATTAAATTATAAATAAAAATAATAAAATACCAAAAACACTTACTTTACATGTTGATCAATAATAATTAGCTAATGAAATTTAAACACATAATAATTTACTAAATAAAAAAATTATTTTTCGTGTTTAAACATTCAAAAGAAAAAATTTTAACATGCCTTTTGCAATCTTACAATAATTAGAAAATTTTATCAACTATTTAAAAACAATAATTACTACTTTATAATATTTCAATTATCTGTAATTTGATTTAAATAAGTTTTTATTTAAAGATTTAAAGTTTATATAATTATAATGATTTTTTTTTTAAAAAAAAATTAAAATTTTAGTGTTCTGTTAATTTGTAATTTAAATGATTTTTTAATTTTTGAAGAAACAAATCTTTTTCTAATCATAATCCAAAAATTGGCCTAATTCAAGTACCCACTGCATTTATCTATAGATATAAATATTTATCTTTAGCTGTATATAAAAATATCTTGTTTATCCAACAAGGTCTATAATAAAATGAATAAGAATAAAAATCAGTAATTATTACTTGCTAATATTATACAGTATAGCCAATATAATAATAAACTTAGTTTACTTTTAAAATAATGTTAAACTTTGCAATCTAAAATACTGGCAAGTACTTTATTATTATTTAATAAGTATTTTCAGTTAAATACTCCAGTTAAATAAAAAAAAAATAATAATATTTAGTGTGAAGTTACAGTTTTTAGTGAGGGACTGCTCCCATTTAATATATTCAGTTGAAGTTGAATTGCTAGTAATCTCCCATTAAAATATTACAAAAATAAAAAAAAATAATAAAACTAATACAGGAGTGGCTTAACATGTAAGCATGATGTGTCAATCAAAATATTTTATATGTTCATATATAAAACGTAATGTTTTATTAGTACAGTTTCACAAAATTATGAGTTTTCAGTTTTTTTATTATAATTAATCAACAAGCCGCAGTTTCAATCAAATTGAAAATGGTGATAATATAGTTTACTTGTAATTTTATTATTATATAAATTTCTTATTAGAGATCCTGGGCGAAACTGAAATATTTAGTCATTTGACTAAACCGAAATAGTTTAGACATTTAAAATTAAAAGACGAAATGCTAAAATTCAATATTCCATAGTATTTCCATGGATTTTTTATAGATTTCCATGGATTTTTAATTATAATAATTACTTATAAAAAAAAAATAATAAATTTATATTAAAATATAATATTTTTTAAAGGAATTTATAAAACTATTTTATGTATAATATAATTTAATATATTTTTATAATAAAATTATAATTTTATATAAATAAAATTTAAACTTAAAAAATATTACTATATAGTTTAGTCAATGACGAAACCGAAACTAGTTGGTGACGAAACTGAAATTTTTGGCAAAAAGAGTTTAGCCAGGTATCACTATTTCTTATTAATAAACTGATAAATATAATGTATTATAATATAAATATATATATACTGTATATAATATATATAATACAATTCTTAATTAAAAAATTAATTATAAGTATAATATAAATATAGAAAAAGTTAATATATATAAATAAAAAGAAAAATAACTAAGTAATAATAGATTTAATAAGTAAGTAATAAAATTAGGAGTTTCTTAATATCACTTTAATTTCAACTTTAGTAATTTTATTAAAATTTTTTAATTATTAGAATATGATTATATAAACAGATATGATTATTCTATAAAAAATAAATGTTCAGAAAATATCTAAAAAACATTTGATATATCTGGAAATTATCCAGTTTTTTGACATAAATATAATGCTTAAAATTTTAATGTATTCAGAATTTGTTTGGAATTTATTTAGAATATGTCTAGTATAGGCATTCAGGATATATTCTGGACATAAAAAACTGGACAAATTCTGGATATAATAAAATTCAGACAATTTGAACTGTACAAATTCTGGACATAACAAAATTCTGGACAAATTCTGAATGCTAGTTTTTAAAAGAAGATAAATTAATTTTACAAAAAAATGTAAAAAGCAAAAAACTGACATTCAAAACCTTCTTTGTGAGCAAGCAAAAATATATATAGGCATATATGGGGGTTCTGGGACAGAATCCCCATATATGCTGGTGATTCCCTATAGTCTCCCAGTTGTTTTACTGATATACAAAAAAAAATCTGTAATCTTATTGAACCCCAATCCGCTCTTCATCATCAGAAAACATATCGAAAATCTAATATTGAATACAATCTTAAAATCGTGCTGGGCTTAAATCCTGTTAACATATATCCCTTACCCAAATTTTTTGTTTTTAAGATAAAGGAGAATACCATCTTTGTTAACGCGCTGGCCTTTTTTTAATCCCAAATAATATAATGAAAAAAGTATGCCATACTGCTTGCCTATAAGGAGACCACCGAGTACTGAGGACCGAAGTGTCCGAGCGTACTCGGTGGTCGAGTTTGCAAGCTCATTTTGCATACCAAAGTTTTATGTTATCCTAGAATTAATTCTAATGTTGATTCATTGCTGTAAACATATTCAGGATAAGTCTCACCTCAAAGAAGTGAGATTTATCCTGTTCAGATGCCAAATTCTTGATTAAAAAATTAATAAGCATGTTCTAGCATATCAACCTCAAAATCTTACCTCTAAGTCTTACCTCTAGGGCGGGCATATTTAAGTCTCACCTCTAAGTCTTACCTCTAAGTCTCACCTCTAAGCCTCACCTCTAAGTCTCACCTTTAAGTTTAACCTCTAGGCGAAAAAAATAAGTCTCACCTTTAAGTTTCACCTCTAGGGCGAACATAATGTTTACGAAGTCTGCGGAGCAAAGTGGAGCATGTACGCAAGAAATGATATACAAATTGCCTCCCAATAGCATACCACATAGGTAGCAAGAGAGAACAAGCATGAGGAGGAGCAGAGCAATGACGAATGCGCGTTCGATATAGGAGAATAAGTATGAGTAGGCAAAGCCCTTTAGGGCGACGCCTATGAATACGCATTCGACGGGAGGGGATAATAGCAGGAATATGAGCAAAGCCCTTTAGGGCGAAGCGAATATGGATGCTATTAACCCTGACCCATATGCTAACTTATTTAATGTATGCTATTATATGAGGCATAACTGGAGACATACAAGATTGCTTATAGCCTCCCAATAGTATACTACATAGGTAGCAAGAGAGAACAAGCATGAGGAGGAGTAAAGCGATGATGAATGCGTGTTTGATATAGGAGAATAAGTATGAGTAGGCAAAGCCCTTTAGGGTGACGCCTATGAATACGCATTCGACGGGAGGGAATAATAGCAGGAATATGAGCAAAGCCCTTTAGGGCAAAGTGAATATGGATGCTATTATTCCCGACCAATATGCTACCCTATTCTAATGTATGCTAATATGAGGCAAATATGTTACACCTCAAAGTCCTACCACTAGAGGCGAACATATTTAAGTCTACCCTCTAGGCGAAAAAAAATAAGTCTCACCTCTAGGGCGGGCATATTTAAGTCTCACCTCTAAGTCTTATCTCAGAAGTATACAGATCGAACATCTGGGCCTTATCCCGAAGCATATTCACATGCTGGATCTGATAATTGCTCTTATTACAATAGCTACATAGGCCATTATCTACCCCTGTAGGTTTAACTAACTTTGTAGGTCTTCTACAAGCAGAGCACGGCCGACGCATCTTAGCTTTGAAGTGTGATCGACAACCTTCAGGTCTAGTACTACGCCTGCCACAAATTTCACCAGTATTAAGAAGATAATAACAAATAAATTTCGCTTTTGATTTAGCATTTTTGCCCATTTTATAGATGTATAAATAATTTTAATTGAATAAATCTATAGTAATACATATACTAATTACACAATGAGTACACAAATTCAATTATCCGATACCAAGCCCACATACTAGGAAGTAAAGCAGGCATTAATAAATGTAATCAAGGCTGGCATCTATTATAGAAGGCCAAAGGAAGGTAAATTCATGCAATCATATAAAGAAATGATCAAAAAATTGCGCCAGGCAGAGGATCCTCGAAAATATATTCTCAAACTAGCCATGACCATATTCCCTAATGAAGCTAAGTATCATAAAGTCAAAGATGACTACAAAGAATACTATGGGAGGGATCCAAAGATTCTTAACGCCATCATAAAACTTTATAAATTATATTATAAATTAGCTAAGGATTATTTTATTACCGATAAACAAGTTGATGAAGAGACAGAAGACTTCCTATCATCACTTTAAAAATTTAATTCGTAAGAACCCACTGGGGAGGCAATTCTGTATCAAAGGGAATAACCATCAATTCTTCTCGAACAAAAGATCTTTCAGGACGTTTGAGAATATAATCATCATTATCAATTAGCTCAAAAGGGACTTCTTCCAGCCAGTATAAGACCGGCTGATTTTTTTGTACCATAGATTGACAGATATGATAAATATGAGGTGACCAATTCAAATCACCAGCACGGTGTCTCCCACCCTCCAAATCACTAGGATATAGTAAATATCGAACAAGAACATCATCAGAAAGCTTCTCTTCATCAAAGCCTATAGGACCATCCCGAGGATAAGAAGGCTTAGCAAAGACCTCTTCTTTCTCTATTGCATCAACAGGAGAAATACCAAGCTGATCTGTATTAGAATTGTTAATATATTCAAAACTATAGCCAAATTCTTTAACCAAACCCTGGATATTTTATTTAAGTGTAAAGTCAAAAGATCAGATGCGTCCTGGGAAGGAAATAATTTCTCAATCAAAGTTCGATTATATCTCTCGAAAATACCCATAGTACGTTTAGATTTAGCCTTCTGAATTTTTACGTCATGCTCTCTCATTAATTTCTCACAATCACCCCTGAACTCTGGTCCCCTATCTGTTAAAAATGTTTTCGGCCAAACTAGAGGACACTCAGGATCATCATAGATTTTTTCAATAGCCCTAGCAATAGTTTTAGAAGTTAAGATGCCCTCTCTATCCTTAACACTATATGCACCAATGGGGACAGAAGCTTTATATCTCGAAGCCACGTCCACCACATTAAGACAAAAAAGATAGGTGACTCGTCCTACTTTATCATAAGGCATGTAGAGAACATCTGCCTGATGAACTTTATTAGGAGTGGTAATAGAGCAAAAACTTGCTCGAGGAATATATTTAGGATGAGACTTATGTATCCGATATACAGCCTGTCTTTCAAGCCAATCTTTCACTTCATCTAGAGTAAAATCATACCCAGCTTTAAGAGATGCTTCAAACAATTTTTTTGCATTTCTTTGATAGCCTATTGGCTGGTAATAGATCTTCTGCAAAGCAATAGAAAAATCAGGTTTTCGAGTTTCACCTGAATCTATTGGAATAATAGGAATCAATGGGAGTTAAGCAGGCATATATCGATTTACTAGACAGCAATTTAGAACTGCGAATAAAGTTGACTAAAGAGGAAACTATTACCATTAGAAATAAGGAAAAGATTCGCAAGCTCACAAATGATCTAGAGCAATGTGAGCTATATATCAAATATCTTGAAAAAAATCTTATCTCATGAGAGAATGAAATAGATAGATTAAAAGCAGAATACTACTCCACCTTATATAATCTCAAAAAATGTCAGGATCATTTAGAGCTAAAGGAAGAGGCATTAGTCACTCAAGATAACAGAATCATTCTGCTAGAAGATACAGTAGAAAAGCTCAAAAGCCAAATTCTCAAGATATCACATTTTCAAAATAACAGTAATAAACCTTCTGAAGAAGAAGAACAAGAAAATATGGCACTGCCAGATATCTTAAGGAATGTTGGTACAGCTCTAGATCGGATTGAAAGATATATTAATTGAGATACATCATTTGATCCAAGAAATACACTGAATGGAATACGGATCTCATTAACAACTGTTCGTGGTCATATGCAAAGGCATGCTCAAGATGCTATTAACTTACAAGGCCAGCTTAATACTGCTCATAATTTGCTCAATAATGCTAATGGGCGGATAAATAACTTTATTAATGATATGGCAAATGTTAGAAATGAATGTCTTCGAAGAGCTCAATTATTAACTATAGCATATAATAATGAGGCAAATGAGCGTCACCGTTGGTGGCAAATAGCTCAGGAAAGGCAAACTAATGGTCAAAGAATGGCCTTTAGAAAGCAGAATCAGATTAATATATTAGTACGAGAGAAAGCAGTTCTCCAAATATTAGCTAGGAGGTGCAAAGCTGAGGCAGACTTGGCAGAATTTAATCGGGCATGGGTATTTAATAGATACCAAAAATGGAAGGCAAGGGAATTAATTTCGAGGCAAAATATCTTGAATTTACAAAATAATCCTCTAGCAAACATAGCGAATATGGCAGATGTAAACCAACTTTAGGCCCACAATTGGCCTTCCTTCTATTTTATGATGGACAAGAAGAGCCAGATTCATATTATGCTAAACTTAGAACTATAAATGAATCAGCCCGACCTTTAGCAGTTGCAGGATTTAATGCGGCTGCCAGAGCTAATGTCATGAAAGGAAAAATGACTGGAAGATTTCATCCTGTTCCAGCTAATGATCCATACACAGCAGGAAATCCAGCTATTAATACAGAACCTCTCTTTCTGGCATGGCTACAGGGAAGATATAGGGAGATAATGGTTGGAACTAATCGGGATGCACTAAGGGGTATTATGAATGAAAAATTTACTGCAATAGATACGGCAGATACTTATGAGAAAAGGGTTAAACCATATGTTCAAGGAATTTCTTATGCGGATGCTATAGAATATCTTTATGGACATATGCCTCAATATATGGAAATGAGATTTAGGCAAGCCAATCCGGCTAATTTGGATGCTTTCTTTACAGATTTGCAAAGAATTTGGTTGGAAAGTAGGGGGCGAATTGCAGAACAGCAACCTTCTCCCAGCCAGACTTTAGCTATACAACCACAAAAAGATTCACAAGCTGAGCATGATTTTATAGTTCGTCTTACAAAGGATTTGGATTATTTAGGTGTAGCAACAAATCTCTCAGTCTTAGGACCACATATCTATGATGAACTTGGTAAAAGGCTAGGACACAAAACAGCTCATGTAAGAAAGAGTCCCTTCACACCTAAAAGTATCTATACCACAAAGAAAGTTATTAAAAAGATAGTGCCAAAAAAATCAAGTAAACTTCCCTGGCATTGCTCTGTCTGTGCAAAGGCTGGCCATATAAAAGTTAATTGTCCTAGAGTCAAGCGGACTAAGAAGGTCAATCATGTATACCAAGATGTGGAAAAAGATTCTGAAGACTCTGAAGAAGAATGCATAGCGGAAGAGAAAGATGAATCTGAAGAAGAGGAAATTGAAGATGATGACGAAAATGATGATGATGATTCCCCTCTGATCGAAACTGCTATGCTGTAAAAAAAAAGTGGCTCGAAGTAGAGTATCTATGAAAAAGAGCGCCAAGTCAAAAGAGAAAGTAACCAAGAAATCCCCTACTTCCAAGTCTCGTACTAAAAAATCATCAGGCAATATAATCATGGTTACAGATCAAGTTTACCAAATAGCCTTAAAATCTATAATATCATCAATAGTCCCACATTGTCCTAAAGAGATTCTTGTAGAAATTTCGAAATTTATTAATATGATATATTCTAAACTAAAAAACCTATGCCTGAATAGTGTTATGGAAAATGATACGGTCAAAAGAAGAGAATTGGCATGGGAGAATGTTACAAGAAAAGTTCAAGAGGTCCTATTTCCGCTAATGCAGGTCACAAATGCTGAACAGAAGCTCCTATTATAAGTTCCAGAAAATAATAGTAATGAATCTGTCCCGAACACCTCCAGCCCAAATGAAGACATAGTTATGGCAGATTCTACTAAAATAAAGGAAATTAATACTACATCCTCTAGCCATGTTTTGCCAGAGAGCATTCGGCTAGAACATGCTATTAAAGCTTATATTATGGCTCAAAAAAAAAATAGTCAAATATATTGGCCTAAGCCTTTAGAGATAAATTTTTTACAAATAAAGGATGCTGACGATGTTACGACCATCTCCTGTAAGGTGGGGAGCGTGACTATACCCTATGCAATAATTGATAGTGAATCAGACTCATCAATAGTCTCAGAAAATGTTGCAAAACATTTGGGTCTAAAAATAGATAAGAAAAAGATTCACAGACTTAATGGGGTCGCGAGTAAGTCCCATTCCCTTGGTACAGTTGATAGTGTTCCTGTAACTATTGAGGATGGAGAAAATAGAGACACCATTCTGGATGAATTTTCTGTTGTCCCTACAGAATATGATGATAATGGAAAAGAATTATCCCTATTTATTCTTGGGACACAGTGGCAATATCGTGCTGGATGAGAGCCTTTAATAAAAGGAGAATTTAAGGCCACATGTAACGGAAAAACGATTACCATCCCCTTATCAGTTCACAAATCCCAGCGTAATGTCTTCACTGTAGGGAAGAAGCCAGAAGAATGGTTTCCTGTAGAGCCAAAAAAAAACTAGATGATTGGGCATGTATGTATTGTGGAAAGGAATTCAGATATCCTTATTTATTTTTACGTCATAAAAAAACTAAATGCTGGATTAATGGCGAGTCTACAATAAGTCTACAAAACAAAGTCAAGTCTACGTTGGGTAATGTTGAGTCTACAATGAGCCTACAGCGGGTCAATGTCAAGTCTACAATGAGTCTACAACCAGATAATGTCGAGTCTAGAATAAGTCCACAACCAGTCAATGTTGGGTCTAAGATTAAACTAGACTAATCATCTTAGACGGGTTTTCAGAAAGTATATTTTTTTCGGATATTTAGATTACTCTTTGCATCTTCCCATTTTCTAGTCCAATATTCAGCATCATGAAAAGAAATAAAAGTATTTGGCTCAATTGTCCCATCCCTTCCAGCACTAGGATTGGAAAATATTACTCGATCATTGAGAGCTATGATTTTTAGGTCTTTAGTAAAGATAATATCCTCCAAATCTTTACATACAGAATCGGCAGTCTTCTTTATATCCCATTTTTCATTCTTAAGCTGGGAAATAGTAGAGGATAACTTGCCAATCTCCTTATCTTTTACAGCATTAGCTTTATCCAAAGCAGAGATATGAGATTTATATTGCTTCTCTAGCTCAGCTGAGCGTGAATTATGCTGGGATTCCAATTGATGTTTAAATGAATATGTCTTTTGTTTCATATCTACCATGCAATTATTATATTCACTCTCTAGACGATACTTAAGAGCATCATATTCATCTTTTAGACGTTTGCGTTCCTCAGCAACCTGAGCATCAATAGTTTTCTTAATATTATTTTCCCGTTGCTGTACACAAAGCTCATGTTCCTCTAACTGTTTCTCAAATCCATCCAGCCGGGATAATGTACTAGAACCATCGGAAGAGGTATTTGCTTCAATCTTAATTTTCTGGCGATTTTTTTTATTAAAGTATCTATTAACCTCCCTAGTAAGCAACTCCTCAATGTCCGGATGGATACCCCTAACCTGCTCCTCAGATAATGGTTTATTTTTGCAGTTTGTAAGGCGTAACCATACATCCTTTTTCATGGATGGGGGTAACTGGTCAAGCAAATTCTTATAGTGTTCGTTGAAATTTGGTTGGCTGGACATATATTCGATTATAGGTAAGTGATATAGTCTTGGAAAATTCCTGGAAAAAAATATTCCTGAAAGTTCGGAAATTCCATATTTTCCTAGAAGTTTGTGTATTCCATATATTTCCGGAAAAACTTTCCGCCTAGAAATTGGCTAAAAATTTGCCGAAGCCTAGATTCTAGGAAAAATACTAAAAATATTCTCAGAAAATTCCTCCTAAACAATTGTAATTTCCGTTCTATCATCTAATTTTAATACTGGCTGATTAAGATGGTTTATGGTTGGTAGAAAATTATTTTGTTTAGCATACAGAGACGACATAAATACTTTACTTGTGACCCCTGGCTCTGAACACCTTTGGCTGGGACCCGATGAATGATAAGAAGTTGGTGAAATACAAGTTGGCTCGAAATTTGGAGCACTTGACATAGTATTTTTTGCTATGGTTGCGGTCTTGGCCTTAAAACAAGAGTAATTCCAATGATTCTTCATCAAATCTTCAGACTCAACTTCATAGGCCCATCTGCCCCAACCACTATAATATACTTTTCTAGGCTCTACTTCGGTAATCTTCACCAATTTCCAGCATTTGAAACAAATAGCCATCTGACTTTTATGGACACTAGGTATACGATATCTGAAATGATCTTCAAATAACTCACCATTAACATAGAATGTTTTGGATTTTAATTGACCAAATGAAGCGAAAAGGCAGTACACATGGTATACACTATATTCTCGCTTAGAAAGTAGTTCTTGCAGAGAACCTCTTATACGATCAGCCCATTGCTGGGGTGTTTCATGAGGTCTAATAATAGATAAATAATCATATTGTTTTTCTATTTCAACCACTTTTTCATACCGATATTCATCAGTTTGAGGACCATTAAAAACATGTTCCATATCATATCCGGGGCGGAGATTGATAGGTTTAGGCACAGTTTTATTATAAATCTTATCTAATATGATCTTAACCATAGCACCGGGCATAGCTACGCTAGTATAACTATTTATTAGTAAATTAGTGATTTATAGCAATTTCAGAGTTTTATGGTATTTTTAATGAATTCTGACGATTCTTTAGCAACTTATTCTTTAGAATATCGTCATTCATTTTTTGTACTACATGAGATCAGTTTTAGCTCCATAACACCATCATAGCGCTAACATGGAACCAAGAATCATGGGATGATCGGCTAATTATTTTCCGAAGATTTCATAAAAGCAAGGGCTTTTTCTATCCCCTGCACCTGCGCCTTTATTTCAATAATTTCATAGCGCAGTTGACTATTAGCCTTAATTCGTTCCTCATATTCCCTAGACAGATTTTGCATAAATCGGCCAAAGGTTTCTTTATTATATTTAAGCATTTGCTTTTGCAGGACATTAACCCGGCTATTAATTTCCGCCTCATGATCACATACAATATTACCTGTTTGTGTTCCATTGTCTGTGACGTAAGAAATAGGCAATGATAAGGGTGCCGGGCATTCAGGCCAACTTTGGGGGCGTAATTTTTTCCGATCCATAGTTTTACGATTCCGGTCTAATGATTTCTGGTAAATCTCTAATGTATGGAGCAAATAATCCTCTATACGCTTATTTTTCTCTGAAATCTGGTTTAGGGGAATAGGTTTGTGCGAATGATTTAGGAGTCTTTGGTATGCCCTATCTTTTATACTTACTGGAAGTTTATCTGTAATGTAATTAAAATCTGGATGGAACATTATACTCAGTTATTTTGCGCGCAAAAGATCTTGCATGCAAAAATTTATTATAGGGTTAGCTGTTTTTCGAACTATAGTGAGAAAAAAGGATTAGTTTGCGGATCCCTCATGATTTTATTTATTCGATAAGCAGTCATACAGCATTTGCAGATACACAGCGATACACGGGCTGATACACATGAATTAAAAAGGAGAAAGGCCCGATATGGGGTTATTTTATTGTTTCATCCGCGCCATGCTTTACAATACTACATATAAAAAAAGAGCCAAACTTTGAGAAGCGGACATCGTGTCCTCATCTCAGAATTTATATATCCCGTGACTACTACTACACTGAACCAGCTCATTCTGGTTAAAACAGGGTTATAGCATATATAATATCACATGATAAAAAACACTAGGTCTGATATGGTCAGGTTCCGGGGACCGCAAAACTTTATTAGATAATTTATGATAATCATGCTTTACAATATAATATATAAAAAAAGTGCTAAACTTTGAGAAGCGGACATCGTGTCCTCATCTCAGAATTTATATATCCGTGACCACTGCACTGAACCCGCGCATTCCGGCTAATTTTGTCTAGTATTCTTCCTAACTTGAGATGCAACGTATTTGATATCATCATCACTTAATTTTGAAATAGATGTAGCTGAAATTGACTTTATTCGTTGGATGAACAGCAATCGTTGAGTCTTATCATCGCTAATACGAAAAAAAAGATCATAAACCTTCCCGGCCCTGTCTGCTTTCTTTCGGACAGCACTTTTTGTAACCTCTTTAGGAAGCTGATCTTTAACCGCATCATAGAGCTTCTTTTTTGCTTCATGTTCCTCGTTAGTTTTCCTATAGTGAGCGAGACGTTTCTCTAACTCCTCCCCAAAGTAGTAGTATGCAAAGATCACTTCATTACGCGCCTTTTCACTCCTCTCCTCAGTATTGGTTATTTTTAAATATAGGTCAAAAAAAGTTCGATCACTCTCAACTTCACGTACAGCCTCTCTATAGAGTGCTCTCTTTTCTTTGATTTCTGAAAGGCGAGTAGTGTCGGAAGATAACTCCCGGATAAGCTTTTTTAAAATGTTAGAGTCTTCCGGTTGAACATGTTTCTTAGATTTCTTGCTAGCTGAAGAATCCGTATCTTCATTAGCCCGTTTCTTCCCTCCACTGTTAGAAGCTGAGTTGGTTTCCTCTGGCCGAGCTGATTCTTCTTCCCCGTCCACGTTCATTTCTTCTTCTGAAAGCAATGACGGATCTCTATCATCACTCACGCCACATGGGCACAATAATACTCCCCTCTTATCAGGCTTTTCCGCACAAGTCCGATGGATCATATCACCACAAACATTTAAAATGAGGGATCTAGGCGGATCTTCTGTTAAAATAGGCTTATCACATTCAACACGCTTGAAGCAGATCTTGTTATTAATACTAATATTTTACGTGAAAAAGCAGAATTTTTTGCTAGGAGTTTTGAAGTTAATAATTTTAAAGCTTCTAATGGTTGGATTTAAAAAACGTCAATCTGGGATAGCTTCATTAGATTTAATCGACGAAAAGTCTGGCTCTTCACGAAGAATATCCTCTGGGAGGTGTTTCAATATATGTAATGCAAGTGTTTTTAGGGCTCTATTGCGTCCTGGTTGTACTTCGTAAATATCTCTGCTTTAGGTAGAGGTGATTATGATATCCCCCATATTGATATCGTCAGCAGTGATCTTTTCCACATCAAATGGAACTTCCACGTTAGCTGAGCTCTCTTGGTTTTCCATGATGATGTTTTCCGAAAAAAATAACTATGTAATTTCTTGCTTGTTTTGTAAATTTCGCAGGAGAAAAAAGTAAGTCAAACTCGGATTCCATTTTCAATAACACGAGAAAAAAATAATGCGAGATATACATATGCACCTTACATGTCGCACAGCCCCTATTCTTCGGCAAGAATTTTACCGGCGCATTTCAGGTGATCAGTCTCATATGATATGGATGTTTATAAAATAATATGATCATAATACAACACCGGTACGAGCAAACAATAAATGCTTTATTAACAGTGATTATATTGTACATTTTTGACGAAACAAAATACGAAATATTTGTATCCTAATCTCCGATCCTAACGACATTAATACCCGTATCAATTTCTTATGTTTTTCTTGTTTTATAACCAGCACATAATAATTGTAATCATTATAACTAATCTAATATATTCTTTTCATCGTCAGATTGCAGAGGTATTTTTTTTTGATCGTTTCAATTCATTAAAGATCGGCTGGCTAAAAAATTGAGTTAAAATTTGTTTTGCTTTATATCTGAATATTTCTTCTTCACTCATAGTATCAAAAAAATCTTCCATCGGAGCTATATCAGAACTTACGTTAGAAGTTGCAACAACATGTCTGAGTTTCTGTCTTCTCGGTAATGGTTCTTCTTCAAAAAAGCTAGACTCCATATCCATTTCAGAGCTTCCTTGATTCGCTAATTCTCTCATTTCGTTGTTCGCCAATACAAGATTGCGTCGTATCAACGCCACAGATTCTTCTCTAGAAAGAGTAAGCCTCATGATAATTTTTCCTTGAATCCAAAAAAAACGCCAATCGTCCATCAGATCTGTTAATACAGCCAAGACTGGATACTTTGATTTTAAATCGGTGGAAATTAGTTCTGCCATGGCTTGAAATGTATGTATCCTCTTGACAACCTTCTTTAACTCAAAGAGGAATCGGATATGTTTCTCTTGGGCTTGAGAAGCAATAGAATGCCTGTCCACTATAACCAAGTCTGTTGTTCCGGTAAGTCTTATTGGTAAGATATCAGTATTTGTACTAAGAAAACTATCATCACCGGTTGGATCATAGAGCCCGAGTGTTCGAAATGTGTCAAGTTTGAGTATATTCTTGAGATGAGGTGTGTACCTATCATTTTGTGATCTTTCTATGGCATCCGTCCATCCGAAAGCAGCAATCCTCTCATATTCCAAATTTAAATCGAGGGTTGGAAACTCTATTTCACGTGTTGTCGATTGGTAATCAAGACCAGTAAATTCTAGAATTTTCGTCTAATATCTTTCGGTTACGCCTGATATGTGTACTGAAGATTTTTCTCTCTTTATATCTTCAATATTCTTATCAAGCTTATCAAGTCTAGCAATAATTACATCATCGTTTCTCCTAGCTGAAAAGTAAATGGTTAAAAAGACAAAAGAATGTTAATTATGATTACTATTCGATTTATTCTTCAACTTGGCGCTCAAAAAGATAATTGTCCATAAGATTATTTCTTCTATTTACCAATAGTAGCAGGAACAGCAGGTACATCGACGATAATGTGAATATGTCCATTAGCGGGTGTAGGGAATTTCTCTTCAATATTATCCATAGGTCTCAACACCTGACCACCAAAATCACCCACAATGGTGGAATTTGGAGTGGTGAGAGCGGTTCGTTGGGGTTATCCGTATTAAGATTGATATTTACTTTATATAAAGTGAGGTCAGGATAATCAATATCGGCGAAGGCATTCTTCTTCTTAGTATATATAATTTCTTTGAGTTCGTCAACGGTCGTATTCTTATCATATTTAATCCCAAATACTGAATTTTCTGGATCCCCGTTGACTAGACAGTAAATTGGTGCCTTTTTAGGTGGCATGGTGATGCAAAAATACGGTTCAAGAAAGAGATTTTTTTTTAAAAAAACAGGAGTGGGTCATCATTTATAGTTGTACATGCTGATCGTACAACAAATGAAAATGATGTACAAGTCATGCTTTACAATACTACTGACTAAACTACCCCCCCCTGTGTAAACCACCCCCCTATGGTTTTGGGTCAAAATTTTGTAAGAAACCCGGGTATTTTACATAGTTAATTTTTTTTAATAGCCGATTTATTTGTATTTATTAAACTTTTATTTATTTATATATAAACGAATTTTTTATTAATTTGATTTATCTTTACAACTATTAAAATTCATCCCAGTTATTGTAATCATCTTTACCATCCTCCAAAATGCGCTACAAAATACTTTTTATACCGTGTGAACATATTTGATCAACATAGTGCAGATACCCCCCTCTATACAAAATACCCCCCTGATTAAACTACCTGGGTATTTTGCAAATACGGGGGTGAATTTGTAAAAAACCCGGGGTAGTTTAGTCAGTGCTCTACGGTACATATAAAAAAAGTGTCATACTTTGAGGTCGTGACCGTCTAATATCAGGTGATAAATGTAACTAAGCCACGAAATTTCTATGCTACGATCGCGAACTTGAGTTTATTGTTTAAAGTGTTGCAGGTAAGACAATATTCCAACTTATCTTGGGAATACAACTTCACTAATTCAGGATCATAAGGGAGTTGATTCCCGTTTTTGCGGTACCATGAACCATGTAATCCATAATTCCCATGTTTTCCATCGCAAATAGGACATGGTGAGCTCCACGGCTGAGGTGATGCAAAATCATAATTATCAATCCCTCTGAAACTATTTCAGAATTTCAAGTATGCGAAATGCTCTAAGACGGACTTGATAATTAATTCTGGGTCAGGTTTGGCTTCAACAGTGATAGACCCTTTTTCTTCACATTGCTCACCAGAGGAGGGAAAAGATAAATTGGATACTTTGTTTTCTGGCTTTGAATTTATGAGGCGATCTTCTGATAATTGCCATGGCTCATACCCAGTTTCTTTTTTATATTTTTTGTATAAGCTGGACCGAATCCTATCTGTCAAAACACTTGGTAACCCAGTTAATTTGGCATGCCAATCCAGGTATTCGGGAGTTAATATTTTATTGGATTTGCTCATGTTTCCTTTTT